TGTAGTAGAGGTTTGGGTTTTGGTTTATTTTTGGCTTCATGTTTTAGGCTTTTTTATCTTGCTTTCTTTTTTGCACCGGTTTCTTTTATACGCCAACCCAGATACGAGTAGAAAAACAGACGATAAAAAAAGCATAAAAAACACGCAAAAACCCAAACCTCTACTTGGAGAGTAAACTTTTAGCTGCTCGGTAAGTACCTAAGTAATTTTATTCAGTATTTGTTTTTATTGTGTCCTGTACACATCTACTCAGTCGGAAATTGGCCCGATCGATGTATCAATGTTTACATTGCCGTGAAGGAGACTCGCCATCTTAACTCATCCTTTATCTGACATGACCGATGGTATTTGTGAAGCTCTTCAATGATCTTAATGAATCCATCCTGCACGGTCGATTTAACACCTGTCTCAGTCTTGTAACCGCAGTTATCGCCTGCCGACGTCTGATTAACCACATGGCTGCTCCTCCGTCTGTGCTTGCGACACCTGCCCGATGGGATCTGCGGTTTTCCAACATATTTAAACTTGGTGTGTCCAATCATGGTCATTCTACCAACAGTGATCCCCCCCACACACACACGCACGCACGCGCGCGCGCGCGCGCACACACACACACACATGCACGCACGTACGCATACACACGCACACACACACACACACACGCACGCATGCAGGCACGCACGCACACACACACACGCACGCACACACACACGCACGCACACGCGCACACACACACACACACACACACACACACACACACACACACACACACACACACACATACACGCACACAATGGAAATGAAAACAATTATCACCAATTGTAGATTTATAAAGAATTCAAACAACCCTAACCAGATATGCGCGTATCCTATAGTGTATTCCTGTTTACCATATAATGTTACATATCAGTACTTTTGTTGAGGTATAAAAGTCCAGGTTCTCACGGCGTTGACTTGCTGTTTAGCCAGGTATATCGTACGCTTCACAAGTCCTTTGCAATAAACTTGATTAATCCTTATAAGAGTGGATGGGTCAGTGACTGGTGGACGGCATGTCAGAGTCCAATCACGAGAAAACTAGGTTGACCTCAGGTCACCAACAGGAAATGATCCTGAGCCGCACCAGAAATAATGAATTCGGTCCATCTTGTGATCTGCTATATCACCGACAATCACCGACCTAGCCACTTGCGCCTATCCGCTGTATGGTGCGTCCTATAAACTTCTGAGTGGCCATAAAAGTTGGCAGAGTTCCGATACCTTAAAACTCGTCACATATACGTTTTCTAACAAGTTCTAGCCATAACTAGTGACGACCTCAAATTTTCCCACGCGTTCCTTACAACAGTGGATAATGTGATGATGGCTTTATCTATTGTCATAAATGTACAGGTCAAAAAAGGGGACCAAATCAGCCCCAGTGTCATGTGAACGGAGCGGGGGGGTCGCCGAGTGATCACCTTCTGCATCACATTTTGCTCTGTGTCTCTGCTTTAGGTTCTGCTGCGCTCAAAGCGTGAAGTCAGTATAATTGAAGAAATAATTCACCAGGAGAGAAGGTGTGGTCGTTTCTGCTATGTGTCATGGTTACAGCTCTGGGCAGTGTTTAGTATGTCAGTCCAGACACCATGTACGAGATTTCAGATCCAGATTTCTCAACGCGCGGTAGTGATCACGGCTGCAAAATACTATATTAGTTCCCCTATAATTTAGTCTCTACCAGACTAAGTACGCTGGCTATATGTAGAAGAATATTTGCCAGGGGAGTTTGGCCGGCCTTGGGGTTTGACTGGCCGCGCATTTATTACACAGGCCTTCAGAGGGAAAGAAACAACCTTCCGCGGCGGGACACCCCTGACCAACTTTACCCTCCTTTTGCCGAATTCTACGATCCGTATTCCCGCAGAAAGGCCTGGAGGAGGCTAGCTCCATCTCAAGACTTCGCTGCAAGAAACTCCGACACCTCAGCCGTTTAACACGCTCCTGGGAGATGCTATGAACGCATCTCAATCACAGAGCCGCGATAACGGTGTTCCCACCGATGGTTCGCTATCTCCCCAGGCAAGACGATCTCTGCTGAGCGGAGATAACCTTGGCATTGACTTTCTCTGGGCATGTGCAGAGCACGTCTCACAGGCACGTTTCCCTACTGACACAGATCTGAAGTTCCCGCAAGGTCTTTCAGTTAAATTCAAAATGCTTTAAACACTTTAACTTTAAAGCCTTTTCCTGGTCCTCGTTTTTATTTCAAAGCCCTGGAGCGCAGCCTTTCTGATCGTGCGTTATCGTAATGGTCTTTACCGTGTTACATAATAGGACCTGGAGGGTACTCTAGGCCGTTAAGAGTTTGACATAAATCCGTGGGGAAATATCTTTCTGAAAATCACATAGAAAGTCTATGATGCCCTTTGCCAGCGTTTTCTAACAGCCACTGAAAAACCCTGGGCTTCAATCTTATCTCAGTCGCCCTGTGGCAAAGTAGTGATGGACGGCACGATGAAAAACGCCTATACGAGCCTGGCGGCGTCCAAAAAAAACTTTCTGTTAGTTCAGTTGGTTGCCGCACGTTCTGGAAGTGTTCCAAACTAACAATTACTGAGTTGCGTTCTTTACAGAATGAGTATGCGGTAGTTCACAAATGAGCTTCCGGCTGGAGGAATCTGCGAGCGTGCTTAATTTGAGTTATTCCGCAGGACCTTGAACAGCCATCTGTCACGTCGACACTGTGCTGATGTGTGGCAGAGATATTCATACTCGCTGTGCACGGCAGGGCCGCAAATGGGAACAGGAGATTCCCGCATGTTCACTCTGACTGGAGACGTGCTGGCTATATACCCCACAGAGCAAACATTTGCAACAGAAATATTCACACTCGCTGTGCACGGCAGTGCTAGTACGGCAGTGCCGCAAATTGAGCAGGAGATTCCCGCATGTTCACACACGGTGACTGGAGATACCGGCGTCATGCTGGCTACATACCCCGCCCGTACAGAAAACATCCACATTTACAAGACAGTTTCAAGCAGTTTTTTTTTTCGTCGTGAACGGGGCACGGTTTGCCCGTGACTGCACTACTAGTAGTCGGCACGTACAGAAAAATCGTTTTTCCTCCATTCTTCTCCGTCTAGGCCAATCCAGTCAACGATATGGAAAACGAAAATCAATACAAGATGTTGTCTAATACTCCTTTCGGATGGGATCAAAGCAAATGGTTTAGAAATTGCCATTTGTCGTAACCTACACTTTGATGTGTACTTTGACATACCGTGGAGTTTCTTTTATTGATTTCCTCGCTGTATTTCATTCCAGTAGGTATAATTCCTGAAGACTATGATTCTGTGTATCGCAGGGGCGTTTATGAAGGGAAGTCTCGCTAGCTTGCTAGTTCCTGAAGTCACCTTGGTTTTCGATCTATTGATTTCTCGCCGATGTTTGCCAGAGTCCTTCCTAGACAGATGGATGCTCGAGCCCCACACCTCCTTTCTTCCCGCTCACGGGGTCTTTTATCCCATTATTTATCCAGCGCACGGGAAGTACTGGGACAAGTGCGCACCAGCTGCCTACAGGGATACGGAGTACGTAATCACGTAGGGATGCCATTGTGCCTGCTGGAAATTTATACGTCTTAATAGGGCGGTCCATTCTGCAAATAGATCTAAATTGGATCGCGAGTTTTGTTCCGCCTTTACCGACCGTTGAATTGATGAGATGTGGTCTACTGTGGGCAATTGGGGGAAACCAGGCATTTATCCTAATTCACGGTACCGTCCCGCCTTCCCGATCCTGCCTTGGTATTGGCGTGAATCTTAACTGTTATATATGGAGGGAGGGTTGGGACACACGGAGGGGGGGGGGGTCACAACTCGCGGCCGTGAAAGATCTATAGCTCTGGGTAACTCATAGGTAGCAGGTAGAGACAGGGTCCTGTCAGATATGATTTCTCTATCAAGATATGGTGTTTTGTTGTTAAGGAGAAATTCATAAATTGTATTTAGAACTTAGTATGTCATAAATACCAATATTTGGCGATTTAAAACCAATGTGGAAAAGCTCGTCGAAATAACGCGTCGCACAGCGGACAGAGCGCACACCGTGTGTGTCTGCTGCCACAGTGTTACCGAGAGAAGTCCGTATACTCCAACTTCCGAAGACCATGCCGTCAGACTTTGTTTCAGTTGAGGGTGGCGGGAATGACTTCTGAGAATAATCTATTATGATATTTAAGTACAGAACAGCAATCTTATTCGACGGGCCTATGGGCTTACCGACTAAAGCTAGTAAAGCTCATCACTTTGAAACTGTCAACTTTGAAACTTTTGTACGAAAATAACGGATGCCGGAGAGGGAGGCGGTGATCTCAGATACATCCATTGCGTCTGTCATAAACTCAAGACATTAAAAGAAAACCATTATTCAGCACAGCTTGCCATCACTAAAGGGACAGAAAAGAAAAACATCAAGCTTCCTTCTACACATCAGGCGGTTCAGTTTTCCGCTCTAGGCCCTTTTTCCAAGTGGCTTCGTAGATTGCAGTTACCGCTGGAAAGACAGAAGACGCCGGGAGCCGACGTACCAGACCGGGTAAGACGTATTCTGTAGGAAGTCGGTAATGGAGGCTGCCTTGGTCCTGAAGTCCGGAGGTCGTTGAGAGGCTACATCTCGTATAAATCAGCTCACCTTTCGGCAGATCGCTTTGTTTGCTTTTCCGATAACCCTTCGTGCATCCCCATCTCTAGTCCATTATAGACTTACTGTCGACAGGAATCTCACAGACGCAATAACAGGAATAGGTTCTGGTGTATGATGGCGGTCTCTTATTGCCCATTCCTACCCTACTGGCGGATTAGGAGGGATAACTTATGACACGCTCAGCGAAGCCCTAATGCTGCACATTTGACAGGGAGTGTGCCTGTGTATGATGTATCTAATACCAGGGAGGTGGTAATTCGATTTTCCACATGAGGAGGTCGTGAGGAGAGGGTACAGTAGAGGGTACCTACCATGTATTGCATGTTGGCCGCGCCAGGCGTCACGCTGCTGCGGAGGTTGTTGTGGACGCCGACTATCTGGTGGATCTCGTCTGGGGTGAAGCGCGTCGGCGGCAGGCCGGACGGCGGGACGGCGTTCCGTGCCACTCTCGGCCTGGTCCCTCCTCCAACCTCCCCGCCGACATCGTCAGCCAGCGCGCGCCCGTTTTCCGCAGCGACGACGGCAAGGATGAGGAAGAAGACGCCAAAATGGCCCGGCAGTTTGAAAAACGGATTCATGACGAGCGGTTAGTCTATCCGGAAAGCGGACCACAACAAGCGTGCCTTCTCCCGGCGTCAGTCCCACAACACCTCTCCGTCCCGCGACGCGAGTCCGTGTGCCAGCGCACCGCCAGGCAGTGGGAAGTCTGGCAGTCTGAAGAAGTATTGACCCACACTTTGCCTACGTGGGGTGGGTCGCAATGAAGACGAGGCAGCCCAACCACTACAATCGGCTCAACTTTCTCGCGCTCTGTCTCTATGGGATTCCCTCACACTGCTGTGACGCGCACGCGGCTTAGACGACTGCGTACTTACCTTGCGGCACGGCGTTAGCTTAGGGCTGCGGTGACATGTATCAAAATATGCACCACCACCACAGATCCCCGTTAAATCACGCGTATCATGGCTATTAGCGATGGATAATTGTTCTTTTGTGGAAAGATTTCTTTTTGTCGGTTGCCACTTTTTCTAACCTTATCATCAACTATCGGATAGCGATATGTCGAACAACAGAGGAAATCGCTGCAAGCTTATAAGCAGAAATATTGAGTTTGGCGATTAGGCGTTTATCAGACAAAGTGACTAATAGCGTTATTGATGTACAATAGGACAGTAAGATTAATCAAAGGGACTTCTCTAATCGTCTCTGTCATAGGTCTTTTTAATGCTTAGCACAAACAATGATGCCTTCCGCGGTACCTACCCTTCATATGTTGTAATGGGGTAAACTGAAAAATTAATGTGCAAAATTATTATCTCTTTCCCCGGGTACATGTAGAATATGTATTACGTAAAGCAGCCATAGACGTGACTGGTTGACTTAGTGATGCATTTATGTTTAGACCTATCGATTAAATTGGATGAAAACCTTTTATATGAAGAACCCAAACACCGGGTCCTTACCGACATGGTCGGGAACTTTACCCAGGTCACCCGTCAGGTCCCGCTCTGCTGGCTCTGGAAATGTCATTTCTTTATTACTGCTGCCATACTGTCAGACTCGGCACAGCGCCCGGTCAAGTTGTTGATTGGAACACAACAATTACCAATGCTTCTAATAATCTGAAAAGATCAAATAAGGAGATAGACGTCAACGGCTTGAAGGTGAAATTGGATTCGGTCGCTGGTATTTGTACACGACAACAGTTGTGGGGGTGTTTCAAGAGTTAAGTCAAGGTGATATAGGAATAATGGTTTACCGAAGGAAAACATGTTGTTTTTGCTCAGTTTCTTCTTCTTCTCCAAACAATGACCTCTGACCTGGTCCATGGGTCTCTCACCATGGTAACCGGTGTTGGGTTGCATAATGTTGCAATTTCATAGTAGGAGGGATTTAGACTCCTGTCACCACATGTGAAAATGAGTAAGAATTAACAGAGCAGACCATATGGTAAGGTAAGCATTATGCATTTGCTTTGCAAATGTTACCTTTCTAGTATGGTCTGTATTCCTCTTGTTTCTCTTCTTTCTGCAAAAGCGCTAAAAGATGGAGCACCGGTGTTCTAGATCACGCGAAATGTGAACATGTCGAAAGTTTACAAACACTACACTGTGAGATTACTTCGACTTTTCACACTGACATTTACCCGCAGTTGTGTCCCGCCCATTCAACCAATCAGGGGACGACAAATTATTACCCCTTCCGTTGACTAAGCACCACAATGCCGAAGATTTATGACGGTATCCCGGGAAAGGTTCTCAGGCAAGTAGAGATTTTCGTCACACGTAATTGATGACTCCCAGTCCGACTTCGACGACTTGTACTCAGAGCTCATTAATACGATCTCCGAAGTTATAAACTAAAGACGTACAACGGGCTGCTTGGGAATCAGCAACTCAGTCCATCAACGGACACTTCCTGGCACCGTTAAGTCGTCTCGGCTGCCCTGTGGCCATAGCGTGGCAATAAAAAGACACAAAACCTTGCCATAAACGTCGGCTCACGAGTGTTTTATGGCCCAGGGGAGAGAATCAGGATTTGAAGACGTCCTGGCAGGTCGCGAGGGGAAGTGTTCAGCAGCTTGTCCAATCACAGAGGTCGGGCAGCAGGCTGGGGACATCCAGGCAAAAATGCCAAGGAAAAAGTCAACCTCATAAGTTACAAATGACTTTAATCGGTATGTTTAATAATAATATTGCAGGTTATGAAGTTAACGGCTGGTATACACATAGGGGAAATATTCTACATGATTAATAGTCAACATTAGGTTATATTGCATATACAAACATGCAACTGTCATCATGTAAGCATCTTCCTCTCTGGAATTCAATTATCGCTCCGGTAATATTCTACTGTATCTCTTATTTTATAGCCATCTCAATAGACACGTAAACCATGTCCCACTCCCATCTTCTCGGGAAATGGTCCTGTATATCACCAGCCGCGCTGAGCTTAATCCAGTCAGGAGGAAACCGACCGAACCAGTCGTAAATGCTCTAATGGATGAGGAAGGAATGCCAGAACGAATCGTGGCCTTTTGCGGAACTAAGAGTTCCTCTTGTTTCCCGATGTTTCATTTTACTACCTATCATAAACGTTAGTCGTAATCACTACAAAAGGATGGTCTGAAAAATGTAAGGAAAAACAAGATCACCTACCAAACGTCTACACAAAAAATGGATGGTGTTTTTTTTCACTAGGGACTAACGTATGCTACTCGTTTCATCCAACTCATTCTTTTGGTCCATGATTAGATTCTGTTGACGGTTGCCAATCGATGGTGGACAATTTGTCATCCATGCGAGCCTAATGTAATTTTAGCGGGACGCATAATGAAGAAGTTGAAGATGTGAGCCCATCCCTATAGTACTTCATCAATGGATCCGTACAGAGGCACACCAGGGATGCTCGCTCGCACGGAAACGTCGTGTGCATTTCAGGATGTCAGTAGTCATCTGTAGAACTGCGACGCAGCGTTTTCACCACAGTAAACAATCTAGTGGACTGTAGATGTTATCAACTTCTAGTAATACACAACACAGCACGGGGATTATGATTCAGATGGGTGGCATATAGACTCAGCTGGAGAGGCAATTTTTCACTTTGTAAGGTTCTCCGTGCCCAGAGGGACATTGTGGTCTGTAGGCATATTTCGCCTACAAGCCAGCTCACTGATCAAGACGGGAATAAGCCGGTTACGTGTTTCCCACAGTTGTGTTAGTCTCCATGCAGGCAAATGGAGCTTCTCTGTGTGGCCAGCTCCTCTGGCCAATCATATCCCCTTTTTAGGCCGATTTCTACTATTTATTCAGCCTGCAAAGGAGTCTAGTGGAGACTAAGTTGTGTGGGGTCTGGGGAAATATTGTTCGGAGATCTTGCTGCAGTTGGAGTTTTTCTGCTTTGTACTCGTTAGTGATGATTGATCATTGTACAATACATTTCAATCTAAACGATGGCTAGATAGATCCACTATCGTCGTGTTACCTGGAATTTTGCCTAAAAGGGTCTTACTGCGCTGTGCAATTTTGCAGGGATTTCAGGAACGGACTATTCATATATACAGGTGTGCTTTACGCCTCTTCACAACAGCATCAAAGCGCCATGATCGCGCCAAGATCATGATTTATGTATTACATTGTCTGAAATGTTCGAGTTGATTCTTTTTATTGATAGAGAATATTGCAGTTCCTCCAAGCAAGACGGGAACTTCATAAAGCACTGGTCACTTCACATTTGGAAGGCATTTTCGCAAATTTCAATGCCAACATGTTGGAAGCCCAACATCATAACTTGTTACTCAGTACGAATACGTCGCAATTTTTTCTAATTGTTTCAAATGTCAATGTTGTTCTCTATATTATTCTTTATGTTTGTATAAAAGTATACATTTCTGTAGAGATTTTGCTGTTAAGTTTTATTGCAGAGTATAAATTTTCAGCGTTACTAACCAGTTTTATGTCACACTCTCTAATTGTGTGATTTGAAATTTTTTATCACAATGACGTGGACACTCGGTAAAACATAATCATGGTAATCTAAATATTATACGGTTTTTCTTACATTCCCGATATTAGCAGGCTCTTGACAAAAATGTGCTAATATCGAACAGACACACACAGGAGGAAGTATAGACGATGAGATTTATTGACAGAATAATTACAGGTTTTATGTACATCATCCACACATGTCCCCGGACACCGGAGCGGACAGGGTGATTACCGCCATCATAAGTCCCCTTCCCTCCGCTCTGTCCCCCACCCAGGGCAGTGATGGACGGGCTTTGTTGCGCCGCGGGGGTGACAAGGGCACGGCAAATTTGCCATTTGGGGATATTGATCGGGCATTGATTGCCCCCCATGCAATAAAAACCATCACCTTAGCCGTTGATTTACGCCCGGGACTGCCCTGACCTGCCAAACTGCCGCATATCGCGCATGGGTTTGGCAGCCACCAGAAACCGGCATCATTACCACCCGGCCGGGGCGCCATTTTTCTGCATCAGCTGCAGTTTCCCGCCAAAGGTCCACAGACGGTGATGGAGCACCTGGTTCAGTCGGTTGACCCCCCGAGAGTACAGTTCTAACGGCCCTGCTCCCATTCTATTATTGAAATTGCATTAAACGTTTCGGTGGTTTTTGTACGCCAGATGTAGTTTGGATCATATATTTCGGTCTCAAGTAGCAGACATTTTAGTCAAAGGGCAACAGTAGTTGGTCCTATAGTACGAATACAGAATCTACCGACATGAAGAGAGTGCGACAGTGCATTTGATGTGGTGAAAAAGCTCTGTTTTTACAAGTTATTCTTCCTTATATAGCTAGTCAATACAAGTTATCTACATCCACTGTATAGGCTGGAACATGTGGAATATATAATACACACTAGATTTTAAAGAATCATGTCGTATATTGCTCATAAGCTTCATTCAGGGAAAAATAATTTTGTTAATTGAGTATTGATCATCATTATCCCAAAACCACTCCTGTAATATAGGACGTTACATATTTACATGCAATTATATAACATGGATTATACAGGACTGTACAGCTTTTAATATCCACCAATTTGTATGGTGAATTTGTATCACATCTCAATGTGGAGTTTTTCTAAACGTCTCCAGAAAGAGGGGCGTGTGTCTCTGTAGGTAGGTAGAACTATCAGGAATGAGTTTCTAGAGCCTGGTCCTGATCTCCATTTACAACTATGACTTACTTGAGAGGTGTTGAAGTCAAACTTATTCAGCGAATATCAACCAAACTGCAACATGGTCGAAAGTGTGGGCATTGAAGGGACAAAGTCATTAGCTTTCCGACATGGTTGTGCCTCTAGCTCCTGGCGGCGTACTGCAGGGACATTCGTCTTTGTGTACTCTTCGGCCTCAGCGACACCCTTCCGAGCTTCTTCTCTACTTCCTGCAGCTCTTCCTTTAACTTCAGCCACCTCTGGTAGTCCTTCTCCGCCTCCTTCTGTTTCTGTCTCTCCTTCTCCAGTTCTTCCTGTTCCTTTCTCAGTACCCACTTCTGGTACTCCTCCGCAGATATCTTCTGCCGCCTCTCCTTCTGATGACTTCTGTCCTTATCTTCCTCCTGCTCCTCAATCTTGTGTATTTTCTCGAGTTCCTTTTGTTTGTTCCAGTCATCGAAGCTCAACCTCTTCTTGTACTTGGCGTCCTCGCGGAGGGCCTGTTCGTGCATCTCCTGTAGACGGTCCCATGTTTTCTGTTCTTCTTCCAACTTCTTTCTCTCCTCCACTTCCTCCAGCCATTCATCGAAGGTTTTCTTCTGGTTGTGTGAGGGAGTGGTCGGTAACTTTGCCCCGCTGGGCATCGCCGCAGGAAGGCTGACTCTGCGGAGCCCAGTGAGGCGGCGGCCCGAGAGAGACGGCCGGGGTCGCGCCGGAGGGCAGGCGGGGTCTAAGCCGATAAAAGCGTGTCGGGGACTGTTGGGAGGAGCAATCGGTTCTACTTCCTCTCTTGAACTCATGGACTTGAGGATGCTGGCTGCATCGGCTGTGATGGTGGTGGGATGGTGGCGCCTGGGTGTCACACCTGGTAACGGCGCCAAACTGTCGTCTGCTTCGCTGGATTCACTCCCCCGGCGGAGGTTCGCGACCCGGGGCTGCGGCGTGCCTCCCCACGTCTTCACCCGCCTGGAGAAACACAAAGCACGGAGTTTACATGTGTGTTAGCAATGTCCTCGAGCAATTACTCAACTTTTCCAATTTCTCATTTGCAAAAAACAATAATTACTTTGGCGGTTCTGTAAGAACACGGATTTTTAGATATTTATCTTCGTATTTGTGTGCTAGTTTTGCTTTTATCTTCCCCGCACACCGGGTAAGGAAGGGATCAAAAGCTTTGAAGCTCTTCATTAACGTCAATCTCAAGATTCGCGCAAGACGACTGCAGAGATTGTGATTGCTGATTGGAGGGTGTGACGGCGGCAGACATAACTAAACTTGACTGGAAACTCCGTCTAATCCAACTTAGATGAGGAACGTTAAGATATGTAAAATCTCGTTATTGGTTTGTAAGCCGAGATTGCCTCCACAAGCCCTTTATCATTGGTGGTATCACCGGCAAACGTACATATGTGTGTCTAAATTTTTGTGCATGGTTGGTCCGCGATTCTTTGAAGTTGCGCGAACGTTAACTTTTTCTGGGGATCTACCAAAACTGTAACTTTTGAAGCGTTCCATTTTCTGCGTTATCTTTGCAAAACCACACATAGTTCGGGGGTAATTTGCCTGTACATTATGGATTACCAAGGCTCGATGTGATCAACGTTCTTTAAATAGAGTTAATTTGTTAATCACAAGACAAGCAAGAACGCTACTCTCCCCCAGAGTAATTATATCTCCCTTTGATACACAGACTGTTTTGTCATAATATCCGACGTCTTCATGACGAAGAGGCCCGGGTTCGAAAACGGTTGAACGGTGCAGGTCAGAGTTACTGTGCGTCATGTCAGGATGTGATAAAAAGGAAAAGGGCCTTCCCAAGCATATAAACAAAGTCATCTACGCAGTACGATCTGTGATAAATCACCAGTACGACTCAAGGTATCGCCTTTGTCACCCGGTGAACGTCATCTGATCGCCTTCGGTGCGTCATACTTCCATTAAGAAGTTTGATCATTACAAGACGTATGAGAAGAAGGCGGTGTGATAGACTGCACCACCGGCGGTCAAGTCAGTCCGTCTCAATGTTTCTTAAAGGATATCCGTAAAGACATATCGTTCCGTCTTAAATGCTCTTTTCGCATCCTAGAGGTCTACAGTTTTAGATCGATATGATTGATGAAATTTCATTGGTTGCCTCAAGCCACGGTAAAAGTATCCATAGGTCTTTCCTCTCTTCGTAACATCCCGATGAAGCTGGACTCACATGAGCGAGGCAAGCCCACACGAGACAGACCGTAGCCAGGCTCAGTTCTCGGCGCCACTCGGCGTTTGCCTGCCCCGCACAAAGTTAGTTGCCCCGGGCTGCAACGTTTTCGACATAACCCTACTTGCAAGTCAACAAGCATTTAGATCTTAGATTCCCTCCGCAAATCTGCCGGCGCGGGTAGTTGGAACACGCCCAAGGCTGAGTTGTTAACCTTGATGATGGCGTCCACCTTTGGGTTTCCATGAAAGATACGAGACATATAACGACGTGCACAGCTCAGAGGGGGCGATTTGCATGGAAGTATGATAAGACTCCTGAAGAACGAGCCCTTATCACAAACTTAAGCATTGTACTAGAGTAGTATAGGTTACCTAGTGTCTGCATTCTTTTCCTTGCAAAAATGACATGTAAATCCCTTTATCTAAACTTTAAAATGATAAATTCATAACGGGCTTTGTCGTACCTCTGAGATATAGTACTTGAGCTTTGTACTGTAGGTTAGCTAGTCTGTCGTGTCTGCATTCTTTTCCTGGCAAAATGACATGTAAATCTCTTTATCTAAACCTGGAAATGATATATTCTTAACGGGCTTTCTTCGTGTGTCGGACAACTTTTGATCTAACTGATCATTAACGTCGTATGATGGCCACAGTTCAATACTTGTAATAATCGCATCGCTGGATCACTTTTAGTTATCCCTGCATCCTTCTCGGTGTAAACTTTTCCTTATCTGGTGACGGCTGTATCTTTCACTTCAGACTTATGTAACACAGTGGCATGCCAAAGGTGGCGAAGTAGTAGCGCTTAAGCTTGGGATGCAGGGTTCTATCCGCGCAATTCACCTCTAGTTTGACTCTCACGGTCCCGTACTTTAGAGCTGTAAGGCGTGGAGGCCTCACGTTTGCAGGCTGAATAGATAGTAGAAACCGGTCTAAAAGGGGGATATCATTGGCCAGAAGAGTTGGCCGCCCAGAGCAGCTCCATTTGCCTGCATTCCCCTTTTTAGGCCGATTTCTACTAGTTATTCAGCCTGTAATAGAGACAAGTGGAGGTCTGAGCGGCTTGGTCAGCAGAATCACTCATCGGGAAAGATAAACCATGAAATGGAGCACGTATACTAAGTTTGATTCCTGATTCCAAACCGCTTCATCAAGGTGCATGCCCTTCACCTTATTCTAATTCCAACTCCTGAGTTTCGAACAGACTTTGAAGTTTTCTTGCGGAATGTCTCCTTGGAGAATAAGATGATGAATCCCCGTCCCACAGGCGCTGTCTGGTGATGTATGAGGACTGTCATTTTTACGAGGTCTTCCAGCGAAGTCATTATCTCTGCCAAGGCTATGATAATGGCCTGACAATGGGAAATATACGGCTGTGCGAGATGAAGGTCTATTTCCGGTCAAGTTCAGTCCCGGGCGCTTTTCCAATTATGGGGATGAATAGAGACCGGGGTTAAGGGTGTTCGGGACTTGACTCCAACATGCATATATCTTCTACAGATGCCGTTATTCTGCTTCTTCAATGTACAATATCTGTCTTATACATACAGTATGATAATGGTATCTCTAGCTAACTGTGCGCCTATGGCACGGTCTGCATCTACAGACCACGTACTTCCTCGGGAACTGTGACATACAAGGTAGATAGGAGGCCCTGTCAATAACCCAAAGCAATACGTGTAGCAGGTTTGGCTCCCAGGAATATATGTGGATGGAAGGCACGACTCGGTGGCGACTCTCCCAGCAAAATCCATAAATGTTCATGATGGAGATCACTGTGGGGCAAGCAGGATCCACAGATCGCCTGCGCCTTTTGATACAGCCCGTACCTTGATAGATGACTTAATCCAACGCCGTTTATTTTCTTACCTCTAGAGGACGAACATAACTGATAGTCTGTCCAAACTAAAGCGCTATCTCCAGAAGGGAAGCGGAAACACGCTGTCTGTGCCATAGCTTTTCAGAGTTAAGTTTTGCGGAACCAAAAGATAAGTCTAAGAAAGACTGGAACTGGACAGATACCTTTCTGGAATATCGGAGGAAGCTGGGAGAAGGGAATGTGTACTTACCCAACAAGTGCACTGCTTGGCCTGTTGACCAGACTGACCACAGGGGCGGAGCTTCTCCGACCAGCACTGCGGGCCCTGGACAACTGCTTCTGTCTGTCCACCTTGTCCGTATGACCCTACAACGGTAGGAGTAGTAAGCTACATCAAAGCAGCACTCATATGCAAAGAATTTTAACTTTTGAAATGGGAATGTACGTGTTCATCAATGGTTGTATGAATAGATTCATCTACCGGACAATACTCACATTATCTTCTCTATCAAAGTCGTCATCGTTGTCAATTTTGCCTCTTACTTCCTGCAGAGAGTCGACGTTTTCTTCTTTTGGGGAGTTCTGACGTTTTGAGTCGGCTGTAGATTGGCTGTTACTTCCGTTAGGGGGCGCTATTAAATCGACATTGGACGGACCGTTCGACGAGGACTCGTGTGCGTCCGAATCGTTTGTCTGGGATTTCCCTTTGCAGATGTCGCCCGTTACAGTTTCATCCTGTGTCCCGACGGTGGAGCTACTTGACGGCCGATTGAAGGTCGGCGGCTCCTCGGCGCGCTGTTGCTTGTCTTCCACGGGAGCTACTTCGCTGGCTCGCTGAACCTGACCGCTGGGAAGATCTGATGAGTCCGCCCCCTGGTCCAACAGGACGTCGACGCACTGACTGTGGCCGCGGGCATGGGCGATGAGAAGCGCGCTGCGTCCCCCTGTGGTCTTCCTGTTGACGTCCTGTCCATCCGCTAACAGCCTGCAAGCAATAATCAATGAAACCGTGTCAGACATGACTGCAAGTCTTCCCAATAAAGACACTAGACGTCTCAACGATTAGCGTTATCTTGTTGCAACACCTCACACTGGGATGGCTACGTCTTACTTTTGACATGACTGAATATTGGGAGAGAGTAGATGTTGTACACCACTTGACTGCAGTGTACAATTCTGCCATGATGATGAATATGAAAAAAGAGATTTCGTCTGTCCCGCATTTTGTGGTTGCAACGTCTGTTGTACGCTTAACATTCCTGATACGAACCCGACCACTATACATACAAAACAGAAAAATATTATTTTCATACCCATATGTGATATATAAGTCTGATAGGTATTGTAACCACTGAACGAAAATATTAAATCCATCTTGTTTGGGTTATCTTCTTGTTCAAATGATTCATGGCCCGTTCTCGTAAAGCAATTATGAAGCGTGGAAAAAAGCCAATGTGGAAACGCCTTAGCGCACGGTGTGTCCGCACCCTTGGCACAGATATGACCCGGTACCAAGCAGAGAACATTCATCACAACCCAACATACCATCTATCTTTAAACACGGACTTATCGTGAAATGGTTGACTCAGCAGCTGAGTGTTCCCTTATACTTGCAGTGTCAAAGTTTCCTATAGGGGATTATTATGGGATTGCAGCCAACAAATCTTCCGTCAAGTAACAACATAAATATATTGGATAAGGATTATCTAAACAATCCACGGGACTAGCTATCAGTCGGGCAATATCCCCACATAAAATAACGACAGAGATAAGTCTGGCTGGGTTTCATAGGCAGCTTTACTGGTCTGAGAAGTTGCATTATGAGAAAGATTAATGTGACTCATAAAATCCATTGGGACAGACATGGGGCGGCCTTACTCGGGGTCCAGAAATCCCACTGGCAAATGTAATTCAAAGTCAGCTAGACCAGTAACACTAGCAGTTCGATTGGGAGAGCTGAAAAGTTTTAGGTGGTAGAAATATTATAGAAACTGTGTGCCTAAGAGTTCACATAGCCTGACTAAACCGCTCTCCTGGCGGCCGCCCGCCCGAAGGTTGCCGCCCCCAAGACCTTGTATAACACAGGCTAAGAGTTCACGGAACAATTGTGAAAAATTGTTGAGAGGATATGCTGACTCAAAGGAAAGTTAACTGAGTATCAAACTGACAAGTATCTACACACGCATCGGCTAAGCAAGGGGCTAACCATTATCCCTACTCAATAGCCTGCAATCGCTGAAAATCAGTTTTCGATTAGTGGCTACAGAAAGCCGTGAAGATTACCATCCGTGGGGATAACGTCCATACATAGAAGTCAGATTCGCAATTGGCCAGTGTGATTACATGAGAGGGTGGCAAAGCGTGACTAAATATCCAACCCATTCGAGCAAATATAAATGGGCGCTCTTCCGCGATAAACGTACGGGCCCGTAGACTAACTAAGCAATTAACCACACGGGCTCTGTCCTTGGTGCTGATCGGACACATGATTAACTGTGGTGCTGTTAATTACTGCGGCCTGTCACTTTGACTGATGAAGCTTAGCGCGCTGTCTACTCTGATTGTCTCGCTGCTAGAAGTCAGCTTACTCCCGTATGTGTGGCGCGTGCGGTCCGATATCGTGAAATCCGGCGTGAGCGGATTGCCTATGTGCCCGGAATGATGTACCGCCGCTAAAAGCTTGTTAGAACCACTTCTGTCCCCGGGGATGTCAGGAAAGGTCAAGTGGCGTCAGTTTGGAGAGAGTGTACAGCCGTTCTGCTGATTGATCGTCAGTTCTGACAACTCGCCGGAGTTTTCCCGTCACTACGGGTTTCCCTGACGTGGGCGGACAGATGCAGGCTTCTACTTTACCTGTCCATCACGTCTGCCTCGGGAGAAATATCAACAATGGGAATGTAGAATCCGTGTGAACAATTTCAAAAGATGTTGACAGAAATGTACGATATCTATCCGAAAACAATCCTCAAATCAGCCCAACTTTATCGTCCAGTACCGTCTAACAATTCCGTATCGTGTTCAACTCCACAAAAACCCAAATCTCTTTTGGTCAGGCAGTGGTTAATATTGTATGCCTCTCTTCAGACGTAAGGCGCAGCGATCCTAGAAGCTTTCACCAAATGTGATCGTCAATTCTGTGAATGTGACAGAGGCGATGTATTCAACAAAAAGCCAATAACATTAAGTTTACGGCTTGCTCATGTTTATCGCTGCGTCCATTCAGACTAGCGCGACCAAATTTACAACATATAACATCTCCTTTACTATATGCTCAATATAGGGTAAGGACATAAAGGCCGGTACATGGCTTACCATGGGTCACTGAACGCAGATATCAGGTCTATTGAATTTTGGATTTCTGTACTGAAACATTAGGAACATGAGCTAGGCAATAATGGGGCGATTATTGCTTTCCAAACTAATATTTGTTGCGCATGAACTAAGCTTATGGGCTTACTATTATGTTATTCCTATTCACGACTGTCAGAACGTGAAGTTTGGTTAACGACCCATGACGGTGTAATCTATATGCACAATTAAAGTCACTACTGCAAACGTATGTAGCAGTCAGGATGCATCGACCTCCAGCATAGGTTATTACATTAACAAGTCATGCACGATCGCATTTCCTATTTTCATGATCATGCACGCGCTTTGTATTAAGTAACGAACCACTGTTAGCTGTGACTTCAAGTAGCCTGATATGAATAGCAATTCTAACGCTTTTGAAAGTTGATACATCAGCGCTTTCGTGTTTAGAATTCGTGCAGAAAGGCGTGCATTTCTGTTTCCCCTTTAGAAAAGCTGTAGCCTGGGTACCATCCTACTTGTATGCCGGGGCTCCCACACTCGCTTCCCCTTACTTCTTAGGGAAGCGAGTATGGGAGTTAGAAAAGCTGAGGCGGGTAGAAGTCATTACTATACATAACACGGAGTCGTGTTAATTTTCCTTAATTACAAAGGGAGATGAACAGCGATGCAATGTGACAGGAACATCGAGCATTCCCCCCAAACAATCCTTAATATGTGTCCCCAGGGACCCGCAAGTGGAGACAGGCACAAGATTTGCCTTCCGGCTGTTTCCCGGGACTCTAAATGTTTAATACACGACGGTATTCATAATTCATTCATCTCAGAGACTGGCAGAAATTAAAACACTTGCAGAATACAGGATATAAGGGTTTTCTTTTGCACAACCAGAAGTTCCTACCTTGCTTACGTTAGTGTCTATCAGACCTTT